TGTGTAGGAACGTGGATAAGAATGGCCTTGGTTAGTCTTGCAGGAACCCCCACCACTGCTGCTGCTGGCACTGGTTACACAACACCTCAAGCTTCTGACTGTGTTGAGTGGTTAGTCCCAGGTCAGTGGTGGTATCTGTCCTAAATTAGGGTCATTGTTGGTCTTATTATTTCCTTAAAAAATATTTAGTGGGACCAGCAGATGGTGTAATGGTTATGTCACTGGATTCCCATGGTAGTCAACTGCTGTTTGAGTCCCAGACCCGGTAGCTTAAAACTCACAGTGGGTGTATGTGTATGTGTGTATGTGTGCGTGCCCAAAATCTCAAGAGGAGAACAGAGTAGAAGGGATTGTGGCATGGCCATTCCCCCTGGGGAGTGATTTCTTGCTTTCTGTCTCTCTTGCCTCTTTCTGTCTCTCCAGCAAGCAAACACACCTATAACAAAAACCTCTTTCTAAAAAAGAAAAAGATGTTTTGTGATGTTGCTGGTCAGCATTGCTCTTATTCTGTACTGAGCTTCATCACATAATCCCTTTTTTTACATGGAAAGACAAAAGAACTAATAAAGATTGGTCTCAAGTCCACACTTGAAGACCTGGAGCCTGAAGAAGCAGATCAAATGAATAAGTGGATAGGTAGGGTGGGGCTAGATCGTAAACATGAATACAAGGAGACTTAAGGTAAACAACAGAAGATTGTTCTTTACTCATATGAATTAAACTAAGTAATAAAGATGTTATTTTAAGAAAATAAATATAAAAGCAATGTGCAGGATATATTAGAACAGGAAAAAGCTGGAGTCACAGACAACTGAAGGGTATACCAAACATCTAAAAATTAGTGTTTTTGCATCACCTTAGAGTTTTTCAAGAGCTTTAGCACACCCATCATTTGATTCTTTTTTTTTTTTTTTTTTGAGAGGTTTTTGCTATAGGGTGCGTGCGCTTGCCAGAAAGACAGAGACAGAAAGCAGAAATCACTCTCCAGGGGGGATGGCCATGCCGCAATCCTTTCTCCTCCATTCTCCTCTAGGGATCTTGGGTACACATGCATGTGCCCGGCCTGAGTTTAAGCCACTGGGTCCAGGACTCAAAATGCAGTTGACTACATGAGAGTCCAGTGACGTAGCCATTATGCTAACTGCTGATCTCCCCGTCATTTGCTTCTCACAGTAACCTCTGGGGTGGCTATGGAAGATGATACAGTCTTTACCTGAGACATGAGGAAACAGGGGCCTAGGATAATTAAATGAGAAGCTCCAAGTCACAGGTGTCAGTGGCAGAGCCAGCGCTCCCACCTGACCTGGTTTCGGTTTCAGTGCTCAGAACATGTTTGTGTCTGAGATAGGAAACA